TTATATTTATTATTCTATTCTTTATACATTTCTTCTTATTATTATTATGTTTATTATTTTATTATTTTATATTTTTATCATAAATATTTTAAATAATTTATTCAATTATATTTATTTCTATTCTTTATCTTCTACTATTGATATTCTCTTTTCTTGATTTTTATATTAACAGATTTATCTTCTATGAGTTGTTTATTTTCTTTATTACTTTCTTCAACTTCATTTTCAATTTATATCCCTTTTCATTGTAACATGATTCGATTATGTGAATTCCATACACTCGGATCATGAACTCTAGGTAATAATTTATTTGGATAGTTGTTCATGATATTTCTCTGTGGTATATCATGAAGGTTTCTTAATGTTTCCTTAAGTAATAAATACAAAAAAACAACTTCAAACTACTTTTAATTTCTTCATTCATTTGATCACCACATTAATCATTTGAATGACGGATTTATTTGGTGTTGGTTTTGTATTCAGATTCTACTCTCTGAAATAGTCATCTCATCAGATGCTTTTCATTATTATCCTTTCACATTACTTTGTTTAATTTCCTAATTACATGTTTTTGTTTTCTTTTTATATTTCTTTATTCATCTTCTCTATCTGTTTGATAGTGTCTCTTAAGTTTCTCTTGCTTATTTCTTTCTATTTTATATTACCATCATTATGCTTCTTCAATTTTACAGTTAAGTGGAAATATTGTTGTAAAATAGAGTTAATGAAAATAAATTATTATCATCAATTTATTTTTTTATTGCATAATTTTTAACTCTTTTTTCTCTTATTTTTATTGTTTGTTTCTTTTCTTTAATTATTTATTATTTCTTATTGTTTGTATTATGTTTTTATTGTGTATTGGTATTGAAATAAAAAAAAATGAAATGAATTAAAATAGTTAATCATATCCTTTCCTCTAAAATTCATTCATTTCTTCTTTTATTATTTATTATTTATTCACTCTAATAATCGTCATTTATTTCTTATCTTTTTTCTCTTTATTTTTGTTTCTTTTTCTCTCTTTCGAATAATGTGTTGATTTATCATTTTAAATGTTTATTAATTTCATCATTTCATTTATAATTTCATTGTGTATTATTTATGAAGTTATTTTATTGTTATTTAATATTTTGTTTTATGTTGAATAAAATATGATAAATAAATATAAATCATCATTATGTCAAATTGGTACAATTAAATATTGTAAATAAATGAAAATAATAAGAAATGAAATAAATAATGAAATAACATATATTTAAATGAATAATAAAATAAATGAAAATACAATAAAATAATATTCTTTTTATTTTATCAATTTATCATTGTTTCATTTCATATTTATTATCATTCTCATCATTAAATTGATTAATATTGTTATTTAGTATTATGAAAATAAAGAATATAATTAAATTTATATTGATTCATCATTATTATTCATCATTTCTGTTATTAATGAAATTATAAATTGTTGAAGTGGAACTTGTTGATGAAATTTGTTTTAAATTTTTATGTATTTATAAAACAAATAAATATCAATAAATTAATTGACATTTCTATTATTCATCTATAACTTCATATTCTAAATGAATAATATCTATTCATTTATTCATCATTGTCAAAACATAAAATAATGTGATTGTATTTGAATTTTGTGTTTATTTCAATTTATCAATATTTCATTGAATATCATTCTTGATTTTGACATTGAATAACTTATTTTCATTATTCACAATAATCAAAATATTGACTATTTTCTTTTTGATTTGTATTAATTTATCATTTTCAATATCATTTTGAATATTCATTTCTATTTTACTCTTTATTTTTATTTCATTTGAATATTCTAACACTTATTTTATGATTGTTCAAAGAAGAGTATAATAATATATTGAAATAAAATATACAAAAGTGAAAGATAGAAAGACATTATCACAATTGATCTTAATTTGTTGTTTTATCATTAAGTATTGAATAAAAATATCTTTAACAACACTTCTTCATTGTTTAAATTAAATTAACTCAATATATTTCAATAATGCATTTGTAAAATTAGTATTATTGATGTCGTTAAATCACATCATTTTTATTTTCTATTTCTTCTCTAAATAAATATTATAACAAACACATTACTTGATTTTATATATCTTCTTTGTTATATTTGATAAATATTTTACACAAAATATTAAAATTAAATATAAATAAATATTCATATATCTTTATAAATGTTGTTTAACATATAATTTCAATTGACAATACTGTAAATTAATTTGTCAAGTATTGTTTTATTTTGAAGTAATTTATTTCAGAAGAATGAGAATGAAACATTATTTATTGATTCTGATTGAATTTATGTATATTTTTGAGAAAAGTATTTGTTAAATCAATACCCATGAATTGTAAGATGTCTTTTTATCCATTTCTTCATTAATTGATTTCTATCTTCATCAATTTCTCATTCATTATTTTCATAATCTCATTCAATATATTCAATCTTATATATTTCAATAATTAACGCATTATTTCAAATCACGTTCTAAACATATTATTTTTATACATTTCTTCTCAGTCATGATTATTCAAATGTTTTGTAGTATTTTATTTCAATATGTATTTCAATATACAATAAAAACACATAGAAATGAAATATCTCATCTTTTGATGATTGTTTCGATGAAATTCTTCTTTATGAAGTATTTTATTTGTGAAACAATCAATTAACATTATGAATTATCATCAAAAGAATAAGAGAATAATTTGAATTGTCATTTTTCTCACACATTCATTAAACATCATTTTCATTGTTGATTCATCACATTGAAAGACAATTTCAAATTTATTTCTTTTACAGCTATTTTTAATATGTTTCATTTCAATTTCTGTGTTATTCATTGATGAACGAAAGAAATACAAAAATTCAAATAATGTAATGAAAAATAACATAGAATAAAGAAATGAAATAAAAATATAAATATAAAAGACATGATAGAAAGAAGAAATAGAAAGTTTATAAGAATGAATAAAATAAAGAAATTAACAAAATTACTAAGAAATATAGAGAAAAAGAATAAAATCAGAAAAAAGAAACAAATAACTTGATTTATAGTTATAAACAAAATAAATTGAAGAAATAACGAGAAACTAAAAATAAAGAATAAAATGAGATTTACAATACAAATATAATAAAAGATGTATCAATCAAAAGTAGAGTTAGTTAAATGGTGTAACTTTTGAAAATGACATTATTAGTGATATTAAAACAACGGATTTAACAACAAAACAGTTGATTTTTCTTATTTATTCTATTACTTCAAACATATTGAATGAATTTGATTAACAATAAAATAGTTTAGTATTATCAATGGTGAATAATGAATATTATTTATCAATTTTATTCCTTATTAAAAAAATATTTTTAAAACCAGTTAATTAAAACTTTCATTTCTTTTGGTTATTTGATTTTAACAAATAACACAATTCTCTCCATATTTATCTAATATTGAATTTCTTTTTCCATTCTTCTTTTAATTTCTGCCTTAATTTCTTCCTTACTCTTTTTTCCTGTTAAGTATTTCATAATATCTTCTATCATTTCATTTGCTTGTTTAAGTTGTTTATATCCTTTAACTCGTACGTCATATCCTGGTTTCTTTTCATCATTTTCTGTTTGAATCAACATGTCTAAATATTCACTTGAACTAGTAACTTTACCATTTAATGCAATTTCAGATAATTTATTAACGCATTCGACAATTTCTATTTCTTTATCATAACATTCCATCTGAATTTTATCGTACTCTTCTTCTAACCTTTTTAACATAGCTTCTGCATTAGCCATACCTCTTTTACCTGCATTATATCTGTCAAGTATATCTTGTGCTGTTTGTTGTTTTTTCACTGTTTCATATACGATTCTATATGTACTGTATTTATGATGTGTATAATAACAACCACAAACAACACAATTTCCATCTTTAGTCTGATTGACATAACATGCAACTTTCTCTTCTCCATCTTCAAAAACATGTCGGCAATGACATGGATCATGACATATGTTATTACATTGATAACATTTAATTACTACTTCTCCTTTTTTTAAGTCAACCATCTTTGGTACTGTTTCAGTTGTAATAACAGTAAAATCTTGATTTTTTTTAACTTTTTCTCGATTATCATAGAATTGTTTACGTGTCTGTTCTATTTCATTCATTTTTGAGAAACCAATGTTTAATGATGTTTTTATTGCATCGAGTTGTGCTTTTATTTGTTCTCTTTTCTTCAACACTTCTCTCGATTTCTCTAATGATATTCTTGGTAATGTTACTAATTTTGTTATAAAGTCATCAAAATTCTTCATACCTAATTTCCAAAACATTTGTGTAAATTCATCTTCTGTATTATCATCATAAATAGCTGAATTATTAAATTTTAAATACCATGGTGGGGTTATTTCTGGAATAATTGTACTGAAAATGCATTCTTTTGATTGTAATGCATTTATAACTTTTGGTTTTTTACCATCGCAGAATGTAAGCATAGCAATAAAATGCTTTTTAACATCGTTCCCAAATAAATTAATAATATTTCCAAATACATATTTTTGACTTGCTGTTAGTCTTACATTACTTGATGATGCAACAAAACAAATAGCATTTAAATCTAATACTTTTGTTTCAAATGCTTCTTTTATTTGTTCAGTAATTTTTTTATCCCACTCAGGTCCTCTTGTATCTCCAAATCCTGGTGTATCTATTATTTTGATTGGTGGTGTGCTTTTTGTTCTTTTAATATTATAAATTATTACTTGACTTGTTTGACTTTTAGATTGATCTTTATGTTGTTTTAAATCACCTTCATTTATAATTATATATCTAAAGTCATCTGTTATTTTAATTCCATATAACGCGTTTACAAAACTATTTAATAGTGTAGTTTTTCCACTTCCTGTTTCACCAACAACTAGAATAGCAATTGCATCATTCTCATCTTTCTGATTAAATTCTTGATTTGGATATAAATATATTTTCAACTTTCCATTTTCATGATCTTTCAATCTTATACTTCCTTCAATTGGAACATTTGGTTCAACTTCTGGTGTATTTTCTTTCTCTTCTTTAAGATTAATTTCTTCATTATTTATTATATCTTCTACTATAAAATCCTCTTCATCATTCGCATTAATTTTATCTCCATCTTTTGTTAAGAAGTGTTGAGAGTCAGACATCTTTTCTTTTAGTTTCTCTCTTACTGTTTTCAAACTGTCTTGTGAATTTAATGGTTTAGTTGCAATGCATTGTCCATTCAAAAGAAATCTTACTACTACTCTTGACATTGAATGATTAATGAGTTTGTTTTCTTGTTTAAATACATATCATTCGGCAAAATAGGTTATTTGTTTAAATGTGTTACTTATTTTCTGATTGGTTGTTTCTCATAAACATCATTTGTTTTGATACTAAACACCTTTTTTAACATTTTATTTCATTTTATTTTTATTTATTTCGGTATATTTTTATCGTCAATTTCATGTTCATAAAAATAAAATTACAATAATCTTTTCTTCATTGTAAAATTATAATGATAACCACTTCTTATTCATTCCTTTTTATCATTTTTGTTGACTTGAATTTCTTTAAATTAAAAATAGATAAAATCAATCGAATCATTTCCTATTTCATTCCATTTCCTCTCTTGTTTATTCTTTTAATTTTATCGTTAATACTATTTCTTTGTTTCATCATTTCAAACATCATTGTTCTGAAATTATAATAACATCGAAGGGGTAATAGTTGTGATGTATAAAAATATTGTCATTTTTATTTCAATTCTTTTCAATTTCATTTATTTTCTGTTGACTAAAAAATGAAAGTCATGAAATGTCACAAAAGCATTAAACATAATAACAAAAGAGAAAATAATATCAACAAATAAATATAAATAATCGAAGAATGTGAAATATATATTATTTGTATTGACAGAGATACACTGATCATCATAATAATTATATGAATCATTTCATTCATTTTGTCAACATAAATATTTTAATAAAAACAATGAAAATAAACGGAAAATAACAAATAAAAGAAAATAATTATACATTTCATCATTGAAATTGATTAACATGAAATAAGTAAATTAAATGATGTTTAAACGAAAGAAATTTTGAAAATATATCAGAAGTGTAAATAAAATATTCAACGATAAGAAATTAACAATAACAAAATAGAGATTATTGAATATAAAAAGAAATACATTTCTCAAAAGAGTAAAGATACGAGAAAGGGTAACTATGACAGAAATATTAATTCTAAAATACTCATTGGTGTTTCATTAAAATCACAATTTGATTCTAATCATATTCACTTTTTTATTTTTTTTCTTTTGTATTTCTGTTATTGTATTTTCTTTTTATTTTTTTGTGAATGGATAAAATACATTGAATATCAGTATTTTTAATTATTTAATAAATTTATTCATCTTTTTTTGTTTTATCTTTTACAACTTTTTTCTTTTTCAAACAAATTATTGTGGTATGGTTATACTATTTTATTCATATAACACACATTTCAAAAGTATTTTAATTGAAGTATATCTGATATAACTTTAACATTTTGTTGAATATTATCATAAACTCATTCTGCATTAAAATTATTGTTGATAAAACTCATTTTAATCTTGTGTCTTTGTACAATTAACTTTGCCTTTAGTATTTTATCATTTTATTCATATTCTACTAAAAATGAATATCAACAACATTTATGAATTAATTACCTTCTTTATGTTTGAATTTAATTTATCACTTATTTTAATTATCCTTTTTAATATTAAAATTGCTTAATAAACATTAAATCACATGTATAAATGACTATATTCAAATTTGATTGTTTTATTCTTTGTTCATTTCATGTTTTATCTTTTATTCATGTTTCAAATACATTGTAAACATATACAAAATGATGTTTGTTATTTTACAATGAGGGAAGAAGAAAATAAATTGTACAAGTTATAGTGTTTCATTCATTATTAAAATATGAAATGAAAATTACTTTACAAAAACAAATGATATTCATTATTGTTTATAATTGTTAATAACATAAAACTGTTCTTTCTTCATTTAAATACATTTAAATGAAATGGCAACTTTTCAATCATTTATTCTTATTTTAATTATATTGTATTTTATTTCTATTTGCATTTATTCTTTGTTCATTTCTTGATTCACATTATACAATTCAATTCAATTAAAATAAAATCATTTATTTCCATCATATTTTCATCTCTTTGCATTTTATGAATTATGGCAATAATCAGATTATTTATAAAAACAATAAAATGAAATAAAATTACAATTATTCTTATTTTCTCATAAAATATTTCAAATTATCATTATTTATTTTA